GGAATGGCTGCAATTGGGAATGGCTGCAATTGCCAAGGGCTAATTGCGAATAACTTACTGCCAAGGTCTAGAAATTCCGGTTTAACTGATTTATGTAAATAACGCCTATACCCCTTTGGCATTAGGGTGGACCTAACACGAAAAAACGACGAAAAGTTGAAAACGAACAGTCAGCTCTATCGTCCGCCGTACACACGGCTTATATAGGGGGTAGCCCTGCGTAACAGACGGCTTGATAGATAAATATGGCCACACAGCTTATATAAGGGGGTTAGTCCTGCGTAACAGACGACCTATGGCCACACAGCTCATATAGGGGAGGTATAGCCCTGCATAACAAACAGCTTGATGGATAAATATAGCCACACGGCTTATATAGGGGGTAGCCCTGCGTAACAGACGACCGATAGATAGATATAGCTACACGGCTTATGATAGATAGATGTTAATAATAATTTAACCCTGCCTCACCGAGGGCACCAAAAAAGGATATAAGCTTGCAAGGGAATCAAAAGTGGGATTAAAGGTAATGTATTTCTATGTATCTCTCTAGATGTAAACATATCTTTTTATACCCTTCAAAATAAGGTTCAGGTCTGATAACAAAGGGGGTTGCAACCTGGATACAGGGGTGTAAAGGAAGTAACAGCCCCTTTAAATAAATAAATGCAAGTCCAACGCTCTAAACCTTCCTTTTCTATCCCTCCCAAGCAGGGAGAAGTAAAAAGGTCGCTGAACCTCTGAGGACCTACGAGTACCTAGCAGTGTTTAAGTTCAAGCAACATGATTGGTTGAAAATGCCAACCGGGCCCCTGGTGAGATCATAATTACCTATTACTGTACTAAGGTTAGTGCAGCTTGATTACTACTTACTGTACATGCAATGATCTACGACATTCTTCCCCTGTCAATCTGAAAAGAACAAAAGGTTAACTTGTCAGATCGACGTTTTTGACGCCTCGTCTTTGTCTCTGTAATTCTACGTGCAAGGCTAGATATTTTCAGCTTCTTAGTCGCAGCGCCGCGAAGATGCTGTCGTCCGTTCCCTACATTCGAGTCTGCGTCTAAATCAAACCTCCACCTCCACCTCGAAACCCGCCCACCGTCCCTCGTCATGGAGCCATCAGATGCCATTGGTGAGTAGCGTCCAACTATCTGGTCTATCTCTACAGCTATACTGCGAACACGACTTCGACCAGACTAGGCTCGTTATTCTAACGCGCCGTGTTTCATGATCAGATATATCCTGGTCGTCGATACCCAGTCACGTTCTCTATGCCGAGTTAGCGAAAAGGCAAAGCGACAATGGCCCGACCGAGAAACCCACGTGCGGCTCTGGCGATCGAGGCGCATACGATACACCCCTACACGTCTTTGCACTGATACTCATCCTAACTCTTAGCACGCTCGGTAAGCTTCTATGGCGCCAGTCCTCGGTCTATTCCTGTTCACTGACGCCAATTTCTTGTTAGCATGTGGTTTCCCTCTCTTTTCCCGCCGCGCATCATCGAAAGGGAGCCGTCGCGCCAATACCATCATCTTCCTAAGCCAACATTTCGGCACCGGTGTTCTCATAGCTACGGCTTTCGTCCACCTTCTTCCTACCGCCTTTCTATCGCTTACCGATCCGTGTCTACCCGATTTCTTCACTTCGAGATATGAGCCGACCGCTGGCCTCGTCGCGATGCTCGCCGCCTTGACCGTGGTCGCAATAGAATCTTACCTAACTACGCGAGGTGCCGGGCACTCACATAGTCACAGCCACAATCATAGCTGGGAATCGGACGAGGAAGATTCGGAGGGTGGAGAACATAACACCGCCGAGATCCATGGCGGCTTGGCCACGAAAAGAGCAGCGAATCGTCGTCCTGCCGACATTGCTCTTGGGGATGTTGGCGCCTCCCATGGCCTCATGGCCGATATATCCCCGCTTCCAGAAGCGACGCCTGTAGGTGTACATCCCCAATGGAATGGAAATGGTATTGGGAGCAAGCCCGATCGCTCGCATCACCAACCACATCACGAAGACGAAGACGAAGACGATTTAGAACTCAATCTGAACGAGCTCCACCCAGAACCCAACGATAGTTCGCGGCATCTCGCCCATCCTGGGCACAAAAGACAGGCCTCGGAAGTGACTCTATCCCAAGAACCCTTGACGGCCGAGGAACAACGAAGAAGAATGCTACAGTGTCTGCTTCTCGAAGCCGGTATTCTATTTCATAGCGTCTTCATCGGCATGGCCGTATCGGTAGCCACAGGACCGCCGTTTGTGGTATTCCTTATTGCGATAGGTTTCCACCAGACTTTCGAGGGTCTGGCCCTGGGATCACGAATAGCAGCGTTGCAATTCCCCAGGTCTTCTATCCGACCGTGGCTTATGGTGTTAGCCTACGGTGTCACGACCCCGTTCGGCCAGGCCATCGGCTTAGGCGTGCACACTCTCTATGACCCTAAAAGCCAGACGGGTCTCTTGATGGTGGGCTTTATGAACGCCATTTCCAGTGGTTTATTGCTATTTGCAGGCTTGGTACAGCTACTTGCCGAAGATTTCCTAACCGAGAAGAGCTACAAAACACTAAAAGGAAAGAGGAGAAGGCACGCAGGTTTGGCGGTGTTCGCTGGTGCTATGCTCATGGCTTTGGTAGGCGCTTTCGCTTAAGAAAGAAAGCAACGGACCATATAGAGAGCACCCGAATTACAGATGATCCCAAACATCGTCATTCGGGTGTCGGTGTATGTTATTAGAAGACCGGTTATATTAGAGATGGCTTTTCGGGTCTACCCGTCATTATCGGCGTTAAGGGGTATATGCGGTTGAGCTAGTTGTTTTTGTAGGTTATGAGTACGATGATGGTTTGGTTTGGAATTCGAAAAATACACGGGCCTTTTCAGCGCTTCTACTAAGATGGCTTTGGTATAGCAGTTACCCAGGGAAATGAAGAGGTCATTGGCCCTCCGTGACTGCCCAGTACCCGAGTTACGCGCGTCAGCTACTAACGAGGCGCGAATATCTGTGTTGATTTTGTGAAAGGCGCGTCCAGAGATTCTATGAGGATACGTTAGTGAGGTCTTCCTTCCTTCGTCTGTTCCCGCTACGGAAAGAGGGGGAAGGAAATACCTGCCCTACCAATATCTCTTCCCCTTATTACACATGTCTGGCGAGGGCACGGGTCGCTTGTCTTTTGGTGGACAGGGGATAGTAGACAGGCAAAGGTCATGATCCATGGTTGGTTCTATCTATCTAGGTAGATATCCTGATGAGAGGGCCCACACGTAAATATCCTTAAATGTTCTTCTCCTTGGCTTAAAAGTTAAAAGTTTTTAGGGGAAAGACACGTGTGTTTTATTTCATACTGCGGTTTATCCATACTACATACATAGGTTCCCTTGCCGTCCCTCCGGAGTCCATTGGATCTTACCTGTCCTCGGGATAAAGCATGTCGTCCTTACTAAAAAAGAGGTGCGTAAGGTAGCTTAGCTACATCCCACCTCTTCTCTTAAACACCCGAGGTGGTAGACAACATCAGTTAGTCTATCCTCATCTTTGTAGGTATCGGTGATGGAAATGACATGTTGAAAGCTCGAAAGAAAGAAAGAAAAAAGAAAACGATTGGCGCTGATATCTTATGCCGCCGTTATCTTTCCATGTCGGTATACCGTATTTCTAGACAAAGTTTGTCGGTTACTTGTACTTGATCAAGATTGAGCGTTTGGTTGCGGGTAAGGTGAGCTAGTTAGGGGTAATTTTGGTTTCATAGTTTACATATGTTCTCCGATGCTTTACTCGTACATCATCACCCGCCCAACACGAGAACTAATCAACCGTTGAAGAAGCCTGGGACTTTGTCCCTTTTAGTTGCTTAAATTTGTCGGGTCAGAGGAGGTTTTCAAATATGTACGCTCTAGTTTACCTATGTAGTTAACAAATCTACAATACAAGTATACTACCTAGGTATCACTTTTCTAACGATGTCATTTAGAGTTCATGCGTCGCCGTAGGTACTTTAATTATGTTGTTTAGTAAAACCTAGCTAATAGTGTTTTCTTGCAAACTAGTATAGACGTGGTCTACATGAGGCTAATTGACCAAGACATTCACCTTGTTATGATACCTATAGAGACATGTACGATAAGAGTTTGAACTATGTATGTTGCCGAACCGAAAGAACCTGGGTTGGTTATCATCTACAGGGTAGGTGCTACGATCAAGGTTTCTAGGTTCCAGTAAACACTTCATCAAGGGTTAAGAGACAGCGGCACTTTTGCACAAAGTAAACTAGGTACATTTAAATGGCAGCCTTTTCAACTAACATATACTTGTATTGTAGACAGCAAAAAATGTAGGTATGCTATTCTACCACACATACTTATAGACGTACACAAACCCCTCAAAAATATGAGAGCTGCAGGATTCGAACCTGCGCGGTTTCCCATCGCGGGATTTACGGTATGTCAGAATTTAAACCCCGACTCTACCTAAACACGACGCCTTAACCACTCGGCCAAACTCCCTTATATACTTGTATGATTTTGGAAAGAATCAAAGCCGGCCTATGATTAGTGCGTTGGGAAAGTGTTAGGTCAAAGCGAGAAAAAAATAAAAATTTAATACAGGTCCCCGCCGAGCACCGGACCGAACATAAGAAAAAATGTCGGACAAGGGAAAAAAAAAACAGAACCAAACTACTCTTACTAGGATGTGATGCATCAGCCGTGAATCGAACACGGGGCCCATCGATGGCAACGATGGATTTTACCACTAAACCACTGATGCTGTGTGCTGTGGGATGTTAGTGATCGGCGGCCCTAATGCGAGAGAGATGCATGTGATGTGCCGCGGGCACGCTCTTGTGGTTATTTACCCGCCCTCACTGTTTAGGTGAACCGGAAATCTCAAAAATCCATCTTTAGTTGATTTTGCACCAAGGGGTTTTGTCGAGGCCTGGACGGCAATGTCAATAATTCTTGCGATACCCTCTATGGAGAATATCGTATCAGGCTAGGTGGCGGAGTGGTTAACGCGGTAGACTCGAACTCGCATTTAGTTTAAATTGCTTCTTTGAAATCTACTTCCTTCGGGAGCGTCTGTTCGAATCAGGCCCTAGTCGACGCACATCTTGAAATCTTGATATATACTTTTTTTTCTCTCGGCCTCTCGCCATTCGCTTCCTTTTTAATATTTGGAGTACCGATTGTTTTTGCAGGTTGTTCGTCAACGAGCGGCAGGTAAAACGTGGTTGGGTTGACCGCTTAGAAGAGCACTATATATGTATTATTATGCAGTCTCCAAACCCGGTTCATTAGTCGAGAAAATACTCTTCATGTTTTTAGAGTCATTTTACAATAGGGGATAACCCAGTATATCCATTTGTTTAGTAACGCTTACGCTCTTTGCCCTTGATATTTTGTCGCCAGAGGCATATCACGCTCTTTCTCTCACACCATTTCTTCACGTCAGCAGGTGTCACCTCCCCGTCATATCCTGCGCCTGTCAGAGGGCCACCGTTTAACCAAGTTGCAAGATCCTCTAGAATGACCGGGTCGTACAGCAGCATCTTCTCATGCCACGAAGGGTTCGAGGGGTCTTGTGATCGTGGTTCTGAAGTCACGGCTGTGGTAATATGTTTGAATAACTCGGCTTGTTGGTCCGTAGGCGAAAGAGTCAAGGACAAGTCACCTTCATCTGTCGTCGAGAGGTCTATTGGAGGGGGCGAAGAGAACACCCGGTCCGGTGATGAGACGGGTGACGGTGTTTCTTTTTCAGAATCTGGAATTTCGACAGATGCGGAACTAGGCTTCCTCGGCCTGCCACGTGGCTTTTTGGGGTTTGGCGCCGTTGAAGCTGCATTGGTTACCGGGGCCGGAACGACTGAAGCGGTTTCGCTCTTCTTCGGACGGCCCCGCGCCCGTTTCGGACTTGCTTCGGTCGAAACGATTGGTTGGGTGGCTGAGGTCTTGGAATTATCGGTTTTCTTAGGCCGACCACGCCCACGTGGTTTCGCTGCCGCGGGAACCATGACACTATCAGCTAGTTGTGGTGCGGCTGGACTGGCACAACTAGTCGACATGGGCATCGCGGATCCCTGCGAGACTCCTGAGTGTTTACTGGCCCAGCATTGCTTCAGCAATGTGATCATGGCATTGCGCCTCTTCATCGGCTTAAAGCCGTATGATGTGATTTGCGAAGATAGCTGAGCATCTGTGAATAATTCGTAGTTGGGACAAGGTTGCACGTTGGCTTTATCCACAACCCCAGCAGTTCCAGAGGTTGCAGCGTCTGTAGATCCTTTCATTGTCTGCGACATGAAGAAGTGAGAATTATTAGGTTGGGGCTCGGAAGGCCCGTCTGTCGGGTTGGCTTTCGGCACCGGGGAATCTAGTAAATCATCAATGTCGACGAAACTCCTGGCTTCTGGCTTTGGAGTTCTGGTGTGTCCCATGGGAGGGAGTGTATTCCCTTGCAAATCAACAATATCCATTTTCAAAAGTTCCCCATCCTCATCACGAGCTCCAGCACGCCACAAGTGCCGGCACGACATATCATCATTATCATCTTCATTAAACGGGTCTGAACTTAGGCTGTTAGACGCACGTATTGCGGCTTGAAGGTCTCTCAGAGTCGTAGGCGAGTCTTCTTGTACGAGTTGGCTAGACGTTCCGAAGACAAAATCTTGATGGGAAGACTGCTTCAACGCAGAGCTTGGAGACAGAAGAATCGGGTTCTTTGCTGATGTCGTTTTCTTCTTTGGGTCCGTCTTAGTCGGCAGCTTTGCTACTTTCCCTTTGCCCTTCCTTTGAGACATGACGGCCGTTTGGTGCTCAACCAAGGCCTTGACGGCCCCGTCGGCATCAAAATACTCCAATAACGAGTCTTTGCTGGAAGGTTCAGCGAGTTCTAAATCCGGCACGGCCGGTTCTGTGAAAGGGGCTATCGCCGCCTCCGTGACGGTTCTTGCCTTCTTCCTCTGCGCAGGTACTTTCTTTTCTATCGGTTTGTTCTCCTCCAGTTTCTTGTCCCGACTATTTGTTGCTGATGCCTGGCCAGGGGCAGGATCGATGGGCCTCTCTTGACCGATAGAGAATGGTTCGAGTCGCTGCCGTTTTCGAAGAACCTCAGTACGAAGCGGTGGAGGCATTTCTGACAAGAGCCCTGCGTCTTGCCGTCCATACTGATCATAAAGAGTCTCAAACACGTCTTTGGAACCCGCTTTCCTGTCTCCTGACGAGAATAGCTCCCGATTATCCGAGTCCGAGTCTATAACAACGACCGCACTGGCACGCGGGGGTGTCCAATCATGCCGACGGTGAATAACAGGTTCTATATTTGTGAGCGGGAAAGCTGCTGTAAGTGATGCCCCTTTGTCTTTTCCCTCGCTCGCCTCCAGGGGTAGGCCCCTTGCCTCAGTAGAAAAGTGTCGAGATACCGTTTCGGCTCTATTGCGTGGTAGGTTCCCTAAACTCGAGACCCTAGGCCGTGACGGTGATACGGACTCTCCCCCAAGATTATGAGAGTTATGGGACTTGAATTTTTGCCATGGCTTAGTATGTGGTGATATGGATTTAGTTGCGCGATTTGCTTGCTCTGAGACCTGCTCGATTGACGAATCTTCAGGCGTCGTGGATTTTCGTTTCCGGCTTTTGTTGGGGTTGTTTCTCCGCGATGGTGATATCGTGATTTTTTCTGTTTCTATATCAATTTCGGGAGCCTGTCGAAGGATAGTGGCAGCTGTTGTAGGGGCCGTGCGGGTATTCGCTCCTATAGGTGCCGCATCGCTTCCAGTCCTCAGTGCTGGTTTCTGAGGTTTCTTATTGAACAATAATTCTTCTAAAGACGGAAGGCAGGGTGATGAGGAGGATAAAAGGATCGAGTCTAATTTTCTGGATCGGGGAGGGGATGACATGAAGACATCTGGGGTCGACATGACGAAGTAGCACCGGCGCCAAAAATCGGGTGCGCGCCAGGCGCAACCATAAAGAAGTGGAATCGACACGTTGGAAGTTAATTTTTAAAAAATTACTTCATAACCGAACTCGTCAAGGATCCTAGGGATTGTAGTCTGACGGGGATTGCGATATGAGAGATACTTGAATGGCGCAGCGAGAGCGTCTAGCCAAGTGGCGACTTTGTTTCTGCTTTGTTGTGATTCAGGTAATCATTTGTTGAATAGGAGTCGCCGGATTGACCACACACGTCTGTCCGAAGGCGGGGCTCCAGCTCTTGGCACGAGTCAGGACTAGAGGGCGCCGCGAGCCAGACTCGAAAGCATGTGACGTGCCACGTGACCTTAACCGAGTGAAAAATGATTGGTACGGAGGTACAACCCCCACCACACGCCGCCCACTATCTCAACCTATCTTGGGTCAAAATTATAACGAAATTCCTCCGCGACCAGAAACACCACCATCACCACATTCCCAACCCCTTAATCGTCAACTCGCCCTATTGACAAAATGGAGAACGACCGAGGAGAGCTTGTCGATCTTTACGTGCCAGTATGAGCCCATGAACTCTTCCAGGATGGCCTCGTAGGAACTGACAGTATTATCCTTCTAGCGAAAGTGCAGCGCGACTGGCCGTCGTACGTTCTCTCCTGTTCTCGCTCCAATACGACTAATTTGAAACGGAAAATGAATTGGTAAAATGGAGAGAAATACTGACGGAAAAATATAGTGATCAAGGCCACAGATCACGCCAGTGTCCAAATTAGCGTTCGTTTTCCCCGAATCCCGTGACGAAGCGAAGAAAACCCTAACTTTTCTTTAAAGGTTGCCAGACTGGATGAGAATGGCAGACAGATCCCCGGCGAGAACCATGTGTATGTCGACGATTGGATACACGCTTTGAATCTTTGATTACTAACATGCGTCCAACAGCTACGCTCTAAGCGGCTTCGTTCGCGCCATGGTAAATACTCTGACGTTACACCGTATACGGTGATCTATTTGCTAAACTTACCGTGACAGGGCGAGAGCGATGATTCTTTCAACCGTATCACCCAGAAGGACGGCCTCCTAAAGAACGTCTGGAGCGCCAACCGATAAACGGAGCTTGATGAATTGGTGGTGTCATTCTACGAATGAGGGGTCATGCATAACGGTCAATCACATACTCCTCGGGAAACGGCGTTCAAGGGAAAATTCGTGGTTAGGTCGATATGGCATGGCATTTGGTATTGCAGCTAGTCGTTAAAGAGATACGGCCGTCCTGATGCGACTCCCCGATACGAAGACAATGCGAACAAAATCATACCCAATATTCGATGACTGAGCCCGTGAGTTCTACTTGGTGACGGAATAATCCTTTTCCCGGCTGGCTAAGGCTTCTCGCACCTACCTCCGGGTGACTCCATGGTCGAGGAGTCTGGGGCTACTTTGATAGTCTCCGTGCCGAAGATTGAGTAGTGGCCTTGAAAAAGCTGTGGTGCCCGAGCACTCCGCCATGGTACAGATACGGGTCACACAATCCAGATTGGAAGCGCAAATTAGATAACCAAATATTTAGACATTGCCTATCACTACGTGTTGACTGCTATCTAGTGCTTTGCTCTGTTCTGTGCCAGCATAGGCCAATGCGATCCTGTATCAAAATCCAAGTCGTCCGGCTAGAGATGGCAAGCTCGACTTTGATGAGAACTCCTTAATAGGGCCCCCACGGCCTGATACGGCCCAGCGGCACTCGGATGGTGTGGAATTCGCCTTATATATTTGCTCATACGAGTACTTTATTCACTTCACTTTACTTCAGTAACACACTTGCCTATATTGCAAAGCTTTTTGTAGTAGGAGACGGTCATAGTACCCTGGAACACCAATAACCAGTGACCTTGTCACAAACAAAACTTTCACAACTAGACTACTACATTGGGTAACAGATGCCTACTGACATAGCCCAGCGGGCCCGGTTGCCTTACACATACAAAACGGAAGGGCCAGGGCGGCAGAGGTGACCAACCGGGCTAGTAGGTTTATTATCTGATTTTAACCAACAGTTCAATTGGCATTGCAGGTAATGGGCAGAGGGTCTGGCCATGGCCTCATCGCGGTAGGACTTGTGCTATCACGGCCACCATTATATTTGTACTTCTAGAGACGTTGAGCGGCTCCAGAA